AGTGATGCGCACTTCGTGATCATTACAACGAAGAGAGGTTCAAAATAATGGAGACACAAGTAGAGAATCCTCCCAGGAGAGTTATTCCTAAAGTTCACTAAGGCTGCATACCAGGACCCCTATTCTAGAGGTCAGGACAGGTCTAAAGTATCAGGAAGAAAATGGGGTAGGAGTTGAGAACACAATACTGGACTGAAAGCATGACAGCCACCAAGTGTGCAGACTCACGTCAGCCCTCATCTCTAGGCCATCAGCCCAGGGAGAATAAAGCAAAAGATCAACACTTGAAGAATTTCCTAAGTTGCACAATGTGTTGGAAGACTTACATCTGAAGAAAAGGAGGGACTCCAAGCACATAGTGGTAAAATGACTGGCAGCTAACACGCATATAATTAATTAGCCTATGAATGCCCTCTCTCTCCACTGCCCTCTCCTTCCCTAATGTGCATCATGTAGAAACCCAGAGAAACCCTAGAGGCTGCCCTTAGAGTAGATTATAATCATCTTCATAATCCCAGAGCCCTGCACCTAGCATACAGCATTGTACACAAGAAATGGATTTAAACAGTTATTTACCAGATTTTACTTACATTCACATCTTAGGGTCATCTGAATCAAAAAAAAAAAAACTACGAGAGGTGCTCTAGGTACACCCACCAGGAATACTGCACTCTTTCGAAGGAGGAAAAAAAAAAAAAAAAAAAAAAAGAAGAGAAATTGACCTTGAGGATTTGGTTCACACTCAAGAGTTGTGAAAGTAGAAGGGTATGAGGGACTCAGGTATGCTAACCTAGGCTGCCCAAGAGATTCTTCCTTGAGCTCAGGAGACTGATGTGGTTGAGACTGAGCCAAAGTCTAAGGTGCTACCTTATGTCACCCTAACATTTTCCCTTGTTCCAGCAGGGGAGACAAGTGACAGTCACATTAAATAGCTACGCAGTAAGGCTGAACTTCTAAAAAATCCCACAGACAGCGAGTGTCACAGAACATGGATGCAGTGGTTACCAGTGTGGGCTGGGGCACCTGGTATAAGCTAGACAAGAGGTGGACCTAGAAGATGGGTATTGTTTGAAAAGACAGAAGGAAGAGCACACACAAAAAAATTATGGGCACGGGAGTGAACACAATGTGCAAAGAAACATTGAAGAGCCCAACCTCTCTGGAGCAAAAGGGGCTATATTCCAAAAGAGGACCAAGGGTAGACAGGAAAGGGAAGTCCAGCTCTACAAGTACATCCTATGATGGCGAGTTCAGATGCTGTAATGCAGGAAGATAAAGGGGATTCACTGGCAGGGCTGGAGCACAAGTGGGAAACAACTTGAAATCCTTGTTTTGTGTATCACTGGGGCTAGGCGAATGAAAGCAGCTTCTCCAGCACCTGATAAGCAATAAACAGGTACCTTGGCATTCCTTCCACAGCACACAGAAGGTTAAAGAAGAGTCATTATTTTCCAGATGGGATGGGGATTAACACACTAACACAGTCATTAGTGTGTTTATCCATAATCTAATAAATAACATGCATTCAAAATTCAAACAGCACGGCCGGGCATGGTGGCTCACGCCTGTAATCCCAGCACTTTGTGGCGCTGAAGCGAGCGGATCACCTGAGGTCAGGAGTTCAAGACCAGCCTGACCAACATGGAGAAACCCTGTCTACTAAAAACACAAAAAATTAGCCAGGCATGGTGGCACATGCCTGTAATCCCAGCTACTCAGGAGGCTGAGGCAGGAGAATCGTTTGAACCCAGGAGGTGGAGGTTGCACACCAGCCTGGACAACAAGAGCGAAACTCTAAAAAAAAAAAAAAAAATTCAAACAGCACAAAAAGGTATTGAGTAAAGTCAGTCTTCCTTCTACCCTGGTCCCCAGGCTTCTAGGTACCCTGAGAGATAATTCAATTACCTGTTAATCAAGGCAAACTCACCTTTCTGGCCATGACCAGGCCAGAAGGCTTGTGGGAGACCTTGAACACCACACCGCCATTGCCGGCCCCCAGCTCACTGATCTTCTCAAAGTCGTCATCCTTCAGTTCTCCCACCTTCTGCTTCTGGGTGAGAAAGGCCTCAAGGCGCTTTCGCTGCTGCTCATCAAGCTCTAGCTCCTCCAGCTTCTTCTGCAAGGCCTCCAAGTTGGTCCTGTTCCAAAGCAGGGAGCACAAGTCAACACTGTCACCAGAGAAGTCAACCCAAAGAAGTACTCCTATCACGGAAAGCTCCAGCTCTGGGGCCAGACAGAGAATCAAAGAGTGAGGCTAGAGAAGAGGCCCCCTCCCACTGTGGCTCTGCCCACTTCACTCCAGCCACCCCAGATGACTATCACCAACATGCTTTACCTCTCAGGGCTTCAATTTCCTTATTTATAAAATGAAAAAATTAGGTCCTTCTCACTATGTTGTAAGTCAATGAGAGGAACCAAAGAACCTACTAAAATTCAGAATGAGCCACCTTAATTCGCTTTAAAACTCCAGTTTAAAAAGCCCCACTACTGTTGGTTTTACTGTGTTTACCATACACAAAATAAAATTCCCTAAATTCACTAAAATGAAATCAAACCAACTTTAAACTGAATCACAACAGTAGAAATCCTCATTTTCAATGTAATCAGGTCCAGGTTACATTGGACCAGGTTAATCAAAAAAATCACAGCAAAAAATCATAAAAAGTATATATCTGAAGTTATTATTTTTGCATAATGTATATAAATATGCATTCATTCGCCCATTCTTTAACATAGGGCAAGACTCTGAATAAGGGTCCAAAGAGGACCCACTGGTTAAGAGGTCCACACCATCCTCTCACATGGACCAGAACATAATACATTGTCGACAATTTCCTATTCCTGATTCATTAAAGCTGGTTAACGTTAAAATTTTAGAGTTTTATGATTTCCCACAATCTTAATGTTCATCTAGTTTGACAGTAATGTGTTTTAGTGACTTGGACTTATGAGTCTTTCCACAGCTTTTAACTAGTGTTGATGGGGGGGTGGGGAGTCACTTCATTTGCAGTTATATTTCGTCAGTTTATCTGATACCTAAATACATTACTTAACTACAATACCAGCTACAGCTGAACAAATGGCTTTGGGAACAAGCTGGCTCTTGGTAAGCACATAATTCAGCCAGTGGGTGCTGAAGCGAGTGGGTATGGCAGAGAGCAGCCTCCTGCAGTGCATGCTGTGGGCATTGCTCAGAGTGTTTCATCCAGGGAACTGAAAAGTGTTCATCACTCCTGTGAGCTGGTTAACAGGAAGGTGGTAAGAGTTTCCACTGTGTTTCACTGGATTTCATTGGGTTTCAAATTGAAGTCCTGGGAGGTGAAGCATGTCAGTGACAGTCGTGTGAGGTGGCTGGAGTGACAGAGCTGACAAGACAGGCCTTCGTTATACATCATCATGTTGGTGTTCCTGTCAACACACACACCCCAGTTCTGAGCTTAAAAGATAGAGCAAGCATAATCTGCTCTTCCTTCACACCCTCTATCCCAAACCTCTAGAAGACAGGGAAACGAAGACTCACCTCTCCACGTATGAGGAGATCTGACACTGCCTTACAAATAACATCATGCATGGGACCAAAGAAGATGCAAGGCCAAGGCTGCTGATTTTCCTCACTGATTTTCCCCCTACCCCACCCGCTGCACACATCAAAGAAAGGCCATGCAAGCACACAGTAGGAAGGCGGCTGTCTGCAGGCCAGGAAGAAGGCTCTTGCCAGAACCCAACCATGCTGGCACCCTGCCCTTAGACTTTCAGCCTCCAGAACAGTGGGGAAACAAACTATTGTTGTTTAAGCTACCTGGTCTATGATATTTTATAACAGCAGTCCAAGCAAACTGAGACAGCTACTCAATATTTTCATCCAAGGTTCAGCTATGTCTTGCAGTGTCCCCAGTCCCTAGGGTGTGGGAACCCAGAACATGTGTGGCTGGGGGTGCACAGTGCACACTCTCTGGTTTCCTTTCTCCCAGGTCTCCCCACAAAGGAGCTTACTGAGGACCACATTTAGAAACACATGTCAAATGTAGATGGACCCCACGGCTAAAACCTGAATGAGGTTACAGCTGCCTGACGGGCTCAGCAGGCCAGCCAGAGATGCAGATTACAAAAGCTGTCAAAACACACACACACAAAGTGCATGATGGGGGAAGGGAAGGACGGCGGCATGGAAGAAAAACTGCTTTCCTCACAACACTGTAACTCTCCTCAGTGCTTTACATTTATTAAGTCATTTAACCCACAACCCCGATTGGAACAGATGAGCAAACTCAAGCACAGACAGGTGAACTAAGATGTCAAAGGTCAAATAGCTGCCAAGTGGCACAGCCAGGTTTCAAATTCAGGCAGAGAACAAATGTCTCACCTTAACCATGATGCTATATTATCTTCAAAAAGCTCAATACTTTCCAGGGAGGCACCTGACAACCATGGGTAAGATCCCAGTGTGAGGCATTTAACACACCAGGACTCAATCATACATAAGGATGGTGTGCCCTACACAAAGAGGCCTTTGCACCAGAGACAATCCTGTCTCCTTTGCACATCAATCTGATGATGGATCTACTGGAGCAGATTGGAGCAGATTAACACTGCCTTGCAGCTAATACTTGCCACAGAAATTCAATCAATTTGCAAAGGAAAAGGGACTGCTGACTCTGTTCACTTTCCTGGCTCTCTGAAATAAGTAATTCTTACACCTTCTGGAGGAAAACCTAAGTCTGGGCTTTGTGCTACCTTTCTCCCTCCTCTACCTCCTATATCTTGCCATTTAACAAGCCACCCCACCAGCTAAGGAACTGGCTTCTGACCTGTACTTTCAGAAGGTGGCCAGGGAGAGAAATGACAAAGACTGTAGGCTGGGGTGGCAAAGACTTTCCTAATGGCAGGTGTGTATGGGTGAGGACTGGAAATGGAATAGTGTTGACAAAATAACAAATCACTAGTATTCGAGTCCTGGATTCTTATCCCAAATTGTTCATCAACTAGCTGTGTGACCATGGACAAATCACTTAACCATGCCACATTTCAGATTTCTCTTCTATACATCATGGAATACTATGCAGCCATAAAAAGGAACAAGATTATGTCCTCTGCAGGAACATGGATGGAGCTGGAGGTTATTATTCTTAGCAAACTAACGCAAAAACAGAAAACCAAATACTGCATATTCTCACTTGTAAGTGGGAACTGAATGATGAGAACACATGGACACACGGAAGGGAACAACACACACTGGGGCCTGTCGGTTGGAGGAGAGAGAGAGCATCAGGAAGAATAGCTAACAGATGCTGGGCTTAATACCTAGGTGATGGGATGATCTATGCAGAAAACTACCATGGCACAGGTCTACCTATGTTCACAAATCTGCACATTCTGCACATGTGTCCCTGAACTTAAAAATAAAACCAACAAAAAAATAAGGATTTCTCTTCTGTAAAATAGGAGTAACAATTCCATGCTTATTTCATTCACTGGGGTGGGTCAAAATAGAAACTAATGGAAGAAGCATGAAATTTTTGACACATTTATACATTAACATAGAGGGGAAGGGAGGGGAAGTGGAGAAAGGGGAGGAGAGGCCAAGGCAGTAACGGCAGGATCCAGAAACTACGTGCCTTTCCTTTAATTATTCTTAAAATACTCAGGTTTTTTTGTTTTTTGTTTCCTTGTTTTTTTTAAGAGAATGAAAAATGAAACATTTTATCTGAAGGTGAAATAAAGATTCAGTACTCATTAAAAAGATATCAATCAATAATGTAACAGTATTCAGTATTTCTTCCTCTTGCAGAGGGAGATATTCAACAAGGCTAATTTCTGCCTTTCCAAGGTGAAATGTTTTAAGCAAAGGATATAAGAGCGAGGGCCCTCACCCAACAACTGTATCACCAATCTCTAAAACTCAGAGGGCATGAACCTGTCTCTGTCTCCCTTCACAATCTTTAGTTTTAACTGAAATCAGCAAAACTGACACTGGGGATTTAAAAACAAAACAAAACAAAACTGGAGCTCCAGCACAATAAATCTGACACACACAGCCCTCTCTCCAGGGACCAGCTGTGATCGGCTCCACCCTCCATCACAATCACCATGGCAGAGATAAAACTACACACTGTAACGTGAATTCTGCATCATGGCTAACGGTAAATACAAGTTCATCAAGATAAAAGAAGATTATAGGTTTGAATGGGAATGCAGAGAAAAACAAAGGTTGTCATTTGCTTTCTGAAAACACCAGGGAGGCGCAATGAAATGGGTGGGAAAGGATAATCCTATGGGCAAGAACATGTCCTTCCTCTCATCTCACCCATCTGCTAAGTCTAATTACACTGTTGCAACTGGAACCTTTCATTTGTGGCTCAGTGGTTTAAATCAAGCAACAGCATAAAATGTATTCCAGGGAGGGACCCTGAAGACCACCTTATCCAACCCTCATTTTACAGATGAGAAAACTGAGGCCCAAAGGGACAAGTTCAAATAGTTCACTGGTGGCAGATCTCCTAACTCCTAGGAGAGAGCTCCTTTCAAGGCCCCACACTGCCCTTTTCAACCCTGACAGTCACTGAATTTAGAGGCTGGCCTAAGGAATGATGGAAGGAGGTAGGGGGGTGATGTCCAGAAAAAGAAATGGGATCTCCAAACTACCACACACCAAACAGAAATAGGCCACAATCGCATGCCTCCCAACCTGAGCCTTGCTCCAGCCTCAATGGCAGGCCTGGCCTCTGCCAGGAGGGTACATTAAAGGAAGGAAAGAAGATGACAACCAATCACTGTAGGAAGGAGAGGAAGGGTCCCCGTGCAGTTGGGTGTTCTTACCAGAGAGCCCAGGGAGTTGTAAAGTTCTCCTTCCCCTGTGGCATCTGGCAAGCAGGAATGCTACTAGGGCAGGAAACAAGTCAAGTAGCAGGGAAAGAGGGAAGGAGAGGCAGAAGAGACAGACCCAAGATAAGAGAGACCAGCACCTAGAGATAAAGGCTGCATACAATCCCTTGATCCATGCCTTCTAACCCTACTTACCCATCTGTGAGATCTTGGGTAAGTTACCTTCCTTTCTGGTCCTCAGTTCCATACACATAAGAAAAGTATACAGGAAGGAGGAGAGGAGGTTAGGGAAAAGTTGTCTATCTCTGAGGTCCAA